CAGATTGTGAGCCCCATACCAACTCCACACGAACTCGGGTGCTGGAGAGGTGAGTGAGGACTTGCTTTTTTACCTAACATAAATACTTAAGGAGGTTTAGTACCTTGAAATGCAAGTGCTTCTTGCTAAGTTAGCTAGTAATCTTTGCAGTTAATGGCTAAAACCCTCACTAATTTAGATCAGTATTTAGGTTTTTAAGAGCAAACAGAGATTTGTAGACTAGAATAATAAAAGTAGATGAATAAAAGGCTTATAAATACTTATATTGAATTATCATTATTTTATTTTTTGGCTAAAAAAAAGTCTTAATCCATGTACAATATTTGCTGAATTTCACCATTAAAAGGATTTAGCAAAAAAATTAAGAGACAAATCTGTCAATAACCAGATATTAATTCAAAGAAATAACAAAAACCTAATTTCATATGTCTGTCTTTTCATACATGGTGAACAACTGATAGGCTATTACTATCTCCGTCTAGGAGGTTTGGAAAATCTAGTCACAATCAGAAGACAATCTTTTAAAATGTTGTTGCTTCTCCCAGCAACGTCGTTGCTATGCTTCATTGGTACTGCTGCCCTCACCACTCCAGCTGATTTTCTCTCTGTTTATGACAGAACAGTGGATTCATGGTGGAAGTGATTATGTGAGAATAGTGAATAATTGGAAAACTTAATTAAGTGAGGAATAAGCAGCAGGAACAGACAAACACTTAAAACAAAAATCTCCTTTCAAGTATTACAAATTATAACACAGAGGCAGGATTGTCCTTAAATGCATTTTTCAGTTTTCCATAAGTTATCTGCAGGTCTTTAATGGAAAATTTGACAGCTTTAATTCAGCAGGGTCACTTTGGCGAATGCCATGTAGAATATTTTAAGAGTCTTAAGTCAGACGGGGGTCTACAAAGCTAGCACAAAGACATGGCCAGCATTCAGAGGGAACAGCAAAAAAAAAACCCACTGCTTTTGTCCTTTACTGCCTCTTTATAAAGACCGTCTCAAAGTCTGTCAGGCTGGTCAAAAAAGCAAATACACATTCTTTGTCTAAGGCAGACTGTGCTTATTCATTGCTTGCCAAACACATTTTAAGAATGTAATTTCAGCATATATTTATAACCCTTGGTACACACCCCATACATACATCATGCAAGAATATTAATGATCACTGAGTTTTCCAATGACATATTAAATGCCACCTTTTGGGTATATATCATGACAGTGTGTTAGATACAGTGAGCATGTCAGGCCTGACAAGAGTTGCTGACACAGGGTACTGAACCATCAATGAGCCTCAGTGTCACACTGCTGCTTTGATCATATCACTCCTCTTTCTGCATTCCTCTTCTGACTCCCCCTTCTCTATTGCATCAAACATAAGTTGCCCTATTCACTTTCGAGGCCCTTCGCAGTCAATCTGCATGCCACTTATCTCTCATTCACTATTGAGCTGTCAATGCTAATCTTCTACCAGCCCATGATGTCAGCTTCCGTTGCCCCACGTGTTTGGGAGATGCTACCTCATTATTAAGGCACTGTGTTTTCAGTTTTTAATTGTTTAAAATTTCCTAGGAATCCATCAGTGTTTATTACAAACATTTAAAATGGGTGAAAATGAGTGCAAAAAAATTAACTTCACAGTTTTCTGGGTAAATATCAGGGTTAATATTGGAGAATGGGAGGATAGAAAAAAGCAACAGAGAAAAGTAAGAGTATTAAAAGTAAAATCAGTTTATTTCATGAACTGTACATAATATGGATACATATGCATCCACATGCTTGTGTATGTATCTTCCACTACCTTGCCTTAATTTAATAGACAGCCTCACATTTAGACTAATTTATTAACAACATAAACCACATCTAACTAATGTAATGTATTGGATTTTCTTAACATAATCAGTATTTTCATGTACTTGAGTGGTCTAAAATTCAGGTGAAAAATTAGTAAAAATTGGTAGCTATTTTAAAACTCAAAAATTATTTTGCTAAAAATCAGTAAAAATTGAAAATGAAAGGTCTATTCATTATCTACCTTCAACAGGACCAGATCTGGGGTAGGCAAGCCAGGCGATTGCCCTGGGCACCAACTTCCAGGGGATGCCATGCTGCTCACTTTTTTTTTTTTCCTTCTCCACTGATTGATTGGATGGCCATTTTTGCTCCTGTGATGAGCCAGCTGTTTGTGTGTTTGCTTGCTTGGCAGCTGGCTCTGAAAACAGCCTCCACCCTGGCCAGCAAAAAGCTTACCATCACTCCTGACCTTCGGATCCCTCCTCAAAACTCTCCTTTGCCCAAAAAACTTGACAGTGGTTTGGCTGCTGGTGTGAAATGCCTATCATGTTGACCATTATTGCCTCTTTGTCTCCTTGTACTCCCCCATTTAGCTGTATCCATTTGTTGACTCTTGTCTGGTAACTAGAGTCCAAGATCCTTGGGGCAGCAACTATCTTTTTGTTCTGTGTTTGCACAATGCCTAGCACATTGGGATCCTGGTCCATGACAAAGGCTCCTAGGTGCTACAGTAATACAAATAATTAACAATGATAAAGTTTTACTTTCTCAACTAAATTATTGACTATATTTCAATATAGATGTTTTCAGATTAGGGCACCAGGCTAGGATTTGGGAGACTAGAGTTTAATTCCCTACCCCACCACAGAATTCCTGTGACATCTTGGGCTAGGCATTTAGCCTCTCTGGGCCTCAATTTCTCATCTGTAAAAATTGGGATAATAATACTTCCCTACCTTAGAGGGGTATTGGTATTGTGAGGATAACAGCATCAAGAGACTGTGAAGCACTTTGAAATCTACTGTTGAATAAGAGCTAGCTATTATTATAATTTAGTTAATTATCCCAGTAAAACAAGCAATGCCAAGGGTACCTGTACTCTAGACAATAGCAGAGCTGTAGGACAGTATTACAATATTACAGCAGTGGGCCTCAACCCTTCCCACACTGTAACCCTATGTTACAATGGAAAAAAATTTCAGAAACCCTTATTCTAGGGGAAAGGGGTGGTCAGGTTCACAAATCACCCTACACCTGTTTGGAAATTTCTTGGAGGCCATAATCCCCAGGCCGAGAAGCCATAATATAGAAACAATAATATTCCTGACTATTGATAAGCTCTCTGAGCATCTGCTCCTGGGGGAGATTACTGCAAAGTTGCTAATGCTCAGCATGTACCCCCAAAACAATGTAAACCTGTGGATGATACCAACCTGAGATCTTATAAGGTTCCAGGGTAAGAAAACTTTGACTCTTTCTTGCTTAAGGAAAGAGCCACAGAGTGATTAATTATTGCACCTGAGAGTATTTCTTTAGTTTAAGCCCAAAATTTAAAGTGTACTTTCAAAAAAATTCTCAAGCTAATTATTAAATGAAGTATTTTGTAGTTTTTTTACAATGCTTTATTCAAAACAATGTTTTGTTTGGATGTAAAATATTCCCCTGCACTGTCACACCAACATAAACAAACCCTTCTACAACCAACCTCTTCCCAATGCCAAACAGATACACCCCACACATAGCCCTTCCTCTCCTACTCCCTAAACATACCCCACAGTACCACACTCCCCAATCCCTCACACCTATACCCCACAAACCTTTCCTCTCATTCCTCCCCCACTGTACCTGTACCCACACTACCCCAACCCTCATACCTAAGCCACACAAACCTCTTCCTCTCATACCCCCAATCCCTTCCCCCTACACCACGGTCCCTGTCTCCTGCCCCTACCCTTTTCCCCTATAACACAAAGACCAGTTCCTCTCCTACCACCACTATACCGCACAGCCCCTTCCTCTCATATCCCCATTGTACCCATCCAGCCCCTACACCCCACAGCCCCCTCCTCTGCTGCCCCCCAACACAACACAACACACCACACCACCCCCACCCGCGCCTTTCCGCCAGCGCCGCCCACACACGTTCTCCCAGCTCTAGCGCAGCTGCTCTGCGCTGCCCTGTCAGGCCCCCTGCCCCGCCCCCGGCCCTACCTCCATCAAAGGGAGCG